AAAAAAAAAAATGGTATTGTTTGTAGTATAAAAAGCCATCCGTGCATGCCAAAGCAAACACACCACAGCTCATCTTAAGCTCTTCATTCCTCCCTCCATACCCAGTTCTTGCTTTTTCTTGCTTTGCATATCCAAATTAACCAAAACCAATGGCCCCAGCAATTGCATTCCCAACCACTGACTCTTCGGCCCTTACTGATTTTGTCATAAACCAGGGGAATGGGGTGAAGGGTCTTTCAGAATTGGGACTCAGAGCCCTCCCCAAGCATTATATCCAACCAGTGGGAGAAAGAATTGATGTCAACAAAATTATAACCAATGAATCCATACCCATTATTGACATGTCCAATTGGGAAGACCCTAGTGTTGCAGATTCGATATGTGATGCAGCAGAGAAATGGGGTTTCTTCCAGATTATAAACCATGGGGTGCCCCTGGAAGTGCTGGATAATGTTCAGGGTGCAACTCATAGGTTCTTTGGACTTCCAGCTGAGGACAAGAATAAGTATTCCAAAGACCATTCTCCTTCTAATAGTGTGAGGTTTGGCACAAGCTTTAGCCCTCAGGCTGAGAAGGCTTTGGAGTGGAAAGATTACCTTAGCCTCTTCTATGTGTCTGAAGAGGAAGCTGCTGCACTCTGGCCTCCTGCTTGCAGGTGAAAATCTATTAAAATCACTTTTATATAACTCTTTTTTTTGTACATCTGAGTATACAACAAAACTGTAAGATAACTTTTGGTTGCTTTTTTTTATTCTATCTATCTCAAAATTTGAATTTAAAACAACCTTTCTATCTTATATATATATATATTATTTCTCACATATATCATTGTTTTGCTTTCAGGGATGAAGTGCTAGAATTCATGAAGGGCTCTGAAGTTGTGATCAAGCAGTTGCTTCAGGTTCTGATGAAGAGACTGAATGTGAACGAAATTGATGGAACTAAAAAATCTCTCCTGATGGGTTCAGTGAGAGTCAACCTTAACTACTACCCTGTTTGTCCGAACCCTGAACTCACTGTCGGAGTGGGACGTCACTCCGATGTCTCAACCCTCACAATCCTCCTCCAAGACGAAATTGGAGGGCTATACGTAAAAGGACATCAAGGTGAGGATAGCTGGATTCATGTTCCTCCCATCAAGGGCTCCCTTGTGATTAACGTTGGAGATGCTCTGCAGATACTAAGCAACGGCCAATACAAGAGTATTGAACATCGTGTGATTGCTAATGCTAGCAAGAACAGGATTTCAGTCCCCATTTTTGTTAACCCGAGGCCTTCGGATATGATTGGACCCTTGCCGGAGGTGCTTGCAAACGGTGAGAAACCAATTTACAAGCAAGTTCTGTATTCGGATTACGTGAAGCATTTCTTCAGGAAGGCACATGATGGCAAGGGCACAGTTGAATTTGCAAAGATATCATCATAAATATGTCTTCTTCTTCTTCTTCCTCTTTTATTATTATTATTATTATTTTTTTCTTGGAATTCTTCAAAGTCGCAGAATAAGTTCATAGAAATAGGTCGTCTTACAAGAGCAACATATCTTGCACAAGGGTGTTGTTTCTTTCATTTCTTATCCATCTGTAATAAGGATTATTAAGTTTGTGATAGTACATTCCTAAAATTTGCATAATCTACATTGTTTATTTCTTTGTGGTTTTTTCTTTTTTGAATATGTTGAAATTATTTATATATATTAATTGAAAGAAAAAAAAATTCAGTGCGATTCAAACACATTACATACAAAAAGTTAATAAATCTAACTCAAAGTTCATTTCACTTGACAGAAACCGGCTATTCCATTTCTTTGTGGCATTTTATCAAACAGATATTAATACTTTACATAAATTTTTTAAAACAAATACAATTTGGGAGTAAGGGATGGGGAAGCTTAACATGATAGTATCATAATTTGAACTTAGACGCTTCAACCAATTAACCTATCAGGCCTGATGCAGACTTTACATAATTAGGTTGAAGAACTAACTAGTAATTTAGTTCATAAGTGTACTTAAAAACAGAAAACAGGAACCTAAAATGGGGAAAGCATAAAGCTTCAGCTGCCATGGAATAATCTTTTTCTTTCTTTCTTTCTTCTTCTTCTTTTTTTTTTTCAAATTGTCATTACTAGATAAACACGCAAAGGGAAAGCGACACCAATATTGAACAAGAACATTGACAAAGGAATACTTACACTAAGAACAAAAATGTTAATTATAGTTAATAATATCATATATGAAAGATTATAAATTGCTAATAGTGATGTGATATTAAATAAAAAAACAAAATGTTATATGTTATTTTTTAAATAAAAATAATCAACCATAAATAACATACCATAATTATAATTTTACCATATCACATTATATTGTAATAATAATTTTATTATTTTTGTTGTAAGAAACGAAAAGGTGGGTCCATAAGCCAATCGCAGAACATGGCAGCAGCCCACGTGCATTGGGAACTTTCTTGCTTAAGATCCTAGGCAGCACCAGCCGCCAGCCACCCTCGTCGTCGTGGGTCAGAGTCAAGCTGTCTGCTTCTGCCCCTAGCAGGTCGCAAGAAAACCAACATTTAACCCCTCACCTTATAAAATTAATAAGTTTTATTTTTCATTTTATCATATAACAGTTTTAATCTTTTATCTTATAAAATTGGTAAGATTTAGCCCTTCATCTTACAAAGTTGATAAGTTTTAACTCCTTACCTTATATTATGATATTTTTAGTCCCTCACTGATACAAATTAAAAAAAATAACCCTCATCTAATATCAAGTTATAACGTTTTATTAGTTGACTGTTAACATCCATTAGCATTTCGTTATAAAAAACATGAAATTTAAATTCAATTTTATTTCTTAGTTTTATTAATGGAATGCTAACAGATGCTAACAGTCAGTTAACAGAACTAATAAAACATTATAACTTGATGTTAAATAAAGATTATTTTGTTTAATTTATACAGATAAGGAGTTAAAAGTGTTATAATATAAGGTAATGAACTAAAACCTATCAAATTTGTAAAGTAAAAGGTTAAAACTTACCAATTTTATAAAATAAAAAATTAAAAATATTATATTATAAAATTATGAGCTAAAACCTATTAATTTTGTAGGGTGAGAGGCTCAAGTTGATTTTAGCCGCAGGTTGCAACCAATTTAATCAAGAAACGAAATTTCATCCATGAGCCTGTTTGCTTGCTATAATGATTTGCTTAGTGATTTTGTCTAAATTATTAAAGATAATTGTTTAATATATTTTGTATATTTTGAAATCACTATAAATAAAATATTTAGTAAAAATTTTTATTTAACGAATTGAAATCAACTGATAATAATTAGGTTTTAAGCTCCTAACAAATTGAAAATTGTAGTTTAAATAACCTGTTGTACTAAATTTATTGTAGATTAAAATTTTTTAATTTTATTAATAAATTTATTTTTTTAATTTTTACCCATAATTTTTAATTAGTACTTATTTAATTAGTTTTAATTTTATTTTTTGTCTTTAATAATATTAAGTGACTATTATATTTTTTTTTACATTAATTTATCATAAAAAATATATTAACTTAATAAACAAAATTTATTAATTAAACAAAATGATTAAATTTTTTTTCTTTTTTTAAAAAATAATATAAATTTTTTATTTATTAAAAATAAAAATGAGTGTCTCATTATTGTTGGATTAGATGATAGCAACACAAGTGGAGAGGTGGATTGGGTTTTAAAAAACGTTATGCAATCTTTAAGCGCAAAACAATAAACATTCACAAGCAATCGTAAATAAATAATTTAAAATGTAGAAATTAAAAATTAAGGGAAGAGAAAGTTTAAACATAAGGATTTATAGTGATTTGGTCATAATTTGTGCCTAATTCACTTTTCAAACCACTTGCTTGAGAGTTTGCTTTGAATTCAAAAGTTTTGCTCCAACTTTTCAATGTAGAGGCAACCATTTACAATAGTTTTATCGGTCTTATCCACCTTCAACAATTCAATCTCTCGTTACAATCTCTCACAAACCCAATCTTATGTCACAAGGATAATTTTCTCTAAATTTAACAAAATTATCCAATCACTCTCCCAACAGCATATGGGTGCTATTGAATCATTCAATTCCTTTGTTACAAATCTTTCAACCGTTCCAATACCTCAAGAATGGATTACTAGATCTAATAAGGTTTACTCAATCTCTCTCTCACTTGTTACAATGAACTTGTTACAATGAAAGAGAACAAGAACAAGTGTAGAAAATAGATGATTTCTCATGGAATGAAAGTGGAAACTTAATCTCTCTTTGTTTCTAAGGTTGAAAGTTGTTCTTGTATATTTTTTTCTACTTCCAGATTGGATATTTAGGCTTTAAAATTACTCAATTAAAGGATTGTGACCATTGGAGTATGATTGAAAAGAATATAATCCAAGTATAGTAAGTTATTCAAAATCTTTAACATAACGGGTTGGAACCTCTACTTCATTCTTCATTGAACAATAAGTCTCATGGTTTTGCACCTTGATTTTTGGTGGTTGGAAGAACAAGTCCACCGAAAACAGAATCTTCAATGGTTCCAAACCTTGTTGATAGGGGTTGGAACCTCATCTTAGAACACAGTTTCTGTTTTTGCTATTCACCATAAAAAGAAATATATTGAATAAATAATTACACAATTAAATAACCTTCCAATATAAAAGTAAACACATTATTTGAAAATTTATGAAAATCATATCAATATTACTAAAAATAAGCCAAGCATATATTTTCATTCACATCTGGTTTTAAATCCATCAAAATCAAGAATAATAATTATATTATTATAATTAATTAATTTATTATTTTTTATAAAATTAATAATTTTAATAATAAAAATATAAAAAATGCACTTAATTGTTTTTAAACTTGTTCTTATTAATCATTTAATATTAAATAACAATCACTAACCATTATAAAATCAAACAGTTATATCAATTGAATCCGCTATCATTCAATTAATACAGTGATTATAGAGAAAGGGAATTATAACAAGAAACGTAATCAAACAGAGACGCTCAGCTTGAAGGAAAGATGATGTTGGCATTACATTCTACTTCGAACTGAGAGTTCTTGCTTCACTTGATCCCTCAAAACTCTTCTTAATAACTTGTTAGAAGCAGTTCGGGGAAAGTCCGGGACTAACTTAACAGAGCTCACCTGTTAATTACCAGCAGAAAGTAGGAATCAGAAGTCCTACCAGAAAGAAATAAAACTGCATCTGCAGTCAAATAAGAAAAGGAATTCCAGCACCAAACCTTAAACAATGGGTTGAGGTTCCTTTGAATGGCTTTTGAGAATATCATCTTCAACTTATCTGGTTGATGATCAAATCCTTTCTTTAGCACCACAAATATTACCAACAATTCTGGGCCACCACCTGGTGGTGCTACACTGACAGCAGCAGTCTCCAGGATGCTTTCATCAGCCCGGTCACACACACGCTCAATTTCAACAGAACTTGTCTGCATAAAGGGAAATAGTTTGAACTTGAGGATATTAAAACTATCACAAATTTGCCAAGTTAAATGATGGCAACGGAATATTTTGAATTTCATACCTTAATGCCACCAAGATTCATAGTATCATCAGCCCTGCCCTGGACTACAAGATAGCCCCCAACAGTTCTCTTAAGGACATCCCCATGCCTCCTGAGGCGCTGTTAATGCAGATATCATGTCATAACGAAATGCTCAGAACAACCCTTCTAATCTCATCTTCACCACAATTACATAGTGATCATTATTTTATATACTTTCACCACTGCTGTTAGTTACTGAATCTAAAGGTTCAAAAACCCCTAAAATACGTGCTAATCTTTAGGGGTTAAGCAAGCTACTTCTATGCACAGAATCACAATCCACAACTAAGCAATATATGCCTCTTTCGAACTCCTCTAAAAAGAGTAAGACCTTACCATTCCTTTATACATTGGCATTCCCTTGAAGTAAACTTCCTCATGATCAGCATTAAGCAATCTTTCAGTTGCTCCCAGGTACAGAGGGAATAAACCCACTTCACCAACACAAGCTACATCATCCGGCTGTCACAAAGCTCAAAGAAAACAGTGAATTTAGGTATATAAGTATATGTTTGAAATGAAGCAAATCGTCCACCATCCATCCATCAACTAAAGACAAATTATTTGAATAGGGTATGAAGCAAAATTTGACATCAAAACAAAACTGGTAGAAAATGTTCTTACATAAGGAACTCCATTTTCATCAAGGATGACCAATCCTGCTGTCAATGATGGAGTGCTAAATGCTCCAAAAGCTTGTGGCTGCAATGGACTCCCTTGGATGTAGCATGATGCAAGTTCTGTGCCTCCACAACATTCAATAATGGGCTTGTAGTATGATTTTGAAGAAAGCCAAAGGTCATCATCAACATTGGAGGCTTCTCCGGTGCTTGCAAATGATCTGCAAATATATGTTTCAAGCGCTTATTCTATAGACAAAAGCAATCTTTTATGTCTGAAATTTAAAAGAATGTTACTTTATCTTTGACCAGTCCAAGCCTTCCATACAGTTTGTACTCTTCCAAGTTTTTACTAAGCTTGGAACTGTACCCAAAATAGTCACACCAGCATCCTGAGCAGATACAATGGCAGTAGAAAAACATTACACTTCGATGCAGTACAATAATGTTTCTATAAGTAGACCAAGCACCAATTATTGAAAGTATAATTTAGAAAGGAATTGGAGTTGGTGTCACCTGGACAAATTTTCCAAAACTGCGGCCTAGAGGAGAACCATGATACAAAGCAAGTGTTGCACCACTTAAAAAGGCTGAGAAAAGTAAGATAGGCCCCATCACCCAGCCTAGATTTGTGGGCCAGCAGTAAACATCTCCAACTCCAATGTCAATGTGAGCCCATCCATCAGAAGCACTGCGAATTGGGGAAAGTTGTGTCCATGGAATAGCTTTTGGATCTCCTGAGGGAGACAATAAAAAAACCAGAATCATCCAGTAAATGAATTTTTAATTCAGCTAGAAGTATGGCTCTAGGTAAAAAATCTTCAATACCTGTGGTTCCAGATGAAAAGAGTATATTAATTGTGGAGTCTATTGGCTGATAAACTGGAGAGTAATAAGGTGGTCTGCAACGGAGTAACAAGCATGGAGAAAAATTAATTTCTGAAACTTTTAAAGGTTCCTCTGATGCTTCATTAGGTGGCAATTGATAAAAAAGATATAGAGTTACTCTTACATAGCAACAATTTGTGTTTTAGTGAATTTCTTTTAGACTAATTACCTTGGATGTTGATTGATACTGGAAAGGAAATCTCTCCATGATATATCCTGTTCTCTTAATTTGATGTCTATATCATTCCCACTTACAGGGAGTACTATTGCTTTATGTGGTGCAGCTTCTACAACTCGACTGCATAAAAAAAGATAAACATCCACGATAGTGTCAGTGCTTTTGAGAAAAGAGTGAGGAGTAACTAAAAGCTAGTGCAGTTTCTTTCCTAGCATAGCATTTGTGCAAAATGAAGAGAAGTGCAGGATTGTTGAGAAAATCAACAGAGTTTCGATTTGAGGAATTGAAAACCAAACTTATCATTAAAAATATTTAACTTAAGAACCTGAAATCATAATGGAGGCCTCTTCAAGTGCCAAGGATCATTTCTGATTGATCTAGAAAGATTTTTAAAAAAATAAAAAAATAAAAAAACCCTACAAAAGGTAAACAGATTTTAAAAGCAGAACATTTTGCATTTAGCATGCATGGGGAAAGAAAGACAATTATTACC